GTGTGTGGTTAACCGACACACTAATCTGGGACTGACAATGTGTGGAAAAGGGTAGCTTGATGTTAATCATAGATCAATGGAGCGTGTCTGGTTAACCGACACCTGGATTAGGTGGTTGTAACATTAAGTGTACCAAGTTAATTTGCATGGTTATTCACTCATTGTTTGTGATCCTCGGTATCCCAGTCACAAACTTGAAGGGCACAATCGAGATTTAAACATGTCATTGAATAGTTCAATGAATCTCAAAAGATCTAAGAGTTTCAATTCATTTAAAACCTAATGTTAAATTTCGTTTTTCATGGTGGAAATTGGTAAATCGTCATTTACCTACCTTCAAATATTTTGTAGCTTGGATTACGGCATCCCTCTTCCAAGTTATAAAACATTGTGTTGGGTCCTAGCCTTAATATTTCATATTGGGTGTTATATTAAGGACTTAAATCAACTAAAATTGAATTTTTCCCTCATAGATGTCTAGTTATGACAACTATGGTCTTCCTTATCCTTTTGGATAAAGCCTTCCTAATGAAGATGATATCCCAAATGGAAATCAAGGTGAAAGATTAATCCCTTTGTTGTGCATTAATGGGACTGGAAATCATACTTCAGTTCCTCGTCCTCCTCCAAGTATTCTCCCTAACCCACAAGTTCTTGAAAAGTGCAAGGCCACTCAATCCCTATTGGCAAGCAATGTCCATATGTGATCACATCTTGGAGATGAAGTCACCTATTGACAAGTTGGGAGAGTTGGGTGTCGAAGTCTCAAGGAAGTTGATTGTTGACTGGGTTCATCACTCACTTTCCGAGTCATATAGTGAGTTCATTAAGGACTACTATGTGACAGACCACGACATGAACCTTATCGATCTTACCTATTTCCTTGTTGATGCTGAATCAGCAATGATTTGGGGCACTGGTAAAGCAAATTTGATTGGAGCATCTACTTCCCAAAGTGACATGGACATTGACAATGGAAACATTGGACATCCAGAAAAGTCTTCTCTTCCCAATGGAAAGGGATCGACCATTGTCAACCAGGTTAACCAAATGGTAAAGAGAAAGGTTAAGTCTGAGATAGTTCCATGTACCATTACTAAATAGTCCATATGTTTCTATTGCCAAAGGAAAGGGCATTGATTGCGAAGCTGCCTTATTTACCTGAAAGTTCACTAGGATGGTAAAAGTCAAAAATTTGACTATGCTTCATGTAAAGTCCACTATCTTACTCTATTGAGTTCCTATTTGGATATTCTTATTACATGATGTGACTAGGTCGCATTTTGATGTTTTGTAGAATCGAAAAAGGAGAGGAAAATTAAAAGAATAGTATGTTGAATCTGATCGCGAAGATGGATTTCGATCGCATTATTCGAAGATCAGAATTTTGAGTTGCTGCTTAAGAGTTATGATAGATTGCTTAGGAATAGATAACAACATTATTTTCATACGTAAATACATATGAAAATTGTTGTTTATATGATTCCATTCACAGTAATATTGGAAAATGGATTTGATTCTTTCGTTGATGTTAGTGTCATAATTTACCATATAAGGAAAGATTATCATCAACCAAGTTTCAGTTGGATAGAAACCTGGAATCATGCAACTTGTATTGTATGATGAATGAGAATTTTCATCTTTGGGAAATTAAGACTAATTCCTTGTTCACATGTATATGTGAGTCAAGTGAAGGACTAGGAGATCGGGTACACTTGGTTGTGCGCTGATCGAGTCCACCACAAAGAACGATAAGGCTATTCGTCATGATTTACTAAAGTTTAGTAAATGTGGTTGTGCTTACAAGGTTAAGTATAATTCTGAAACATTGGAAAAGTTTCAATTTATGGCAGGACGAATGAGAAGAATCAAATTAGGCAGAAAGATAAAAGTTTCTCCAATCTGAAAAGATGGGAGAGTACTTCAGTATCATGTTTTATGATCATCTTAATGATTAGGAAAAACCATATCACAATTGATCCTCTAAGGACATCTTAGTGCAATTGTTTGACTGAGAATAGGAATCGTGAATTGTTGAAATGGTTAAATCAAAAGATGAATCATACTTCATTCCAAAATTGAGTCCTAGAGTAACACTCCAAGATCGAGCCTTGAGTGACATAATCTTAAGAAGGTTTAAAACACTTATCAAATGTAGAGTAAAATGTTTTCTACTCTTGTACATTTGAAATTGGTGAGTTGTGATGTTTTGGATAAAACAAAGACCAACTAACACTACTAGAAAAACAGCCTTTTACGACGCGCAATACGTGTCGTAAAACGCTCAGACGACGTGCAAATGCGTGTCAAGGAAGGCCCTGTCATAACGAGAGACGACATGCTTTTGCGTGTCGTCTATTTACGACGCGCATTTACGACGCGCATTTATGACACACATTTACGACGCGCAATGCGTATCAAGGAAGGTCCTGTCATAAAGGAAGACGACACGCATTTGCGTGCCGTAACCTTACGACGCGTGTGTTTATGACACGCAATGCGTATCAAGGAACCCCCTGTCATAAATGAAGATGACACACATTTGCCTGTGATAAACTTCAGTAACCATTTACAATATGCATTTACGACGCGTCTTTACGATACTAATTTACGCATAATACAAAAATATGTAAACAAATATATACCAAAAGAATCAATTTCATCCAATAACATCATGTCAAAAAATTGTAATACATATATATTAAGGGGATCTAATTGTATATTGTTATTAAGAGGTTTTCCCTAACTATATAACCTAGTACTACATTGCTATTAAGGGACACCTTCTGCAATGTAATGCTATACAAACTAAAAAGATATACACAAAGATGATAAAGATTAAATTCCAACTAAGTAGATTTTCATCTTGCCTTTCATTATTCTTTAAGATTAATGAACCCCTGCTCCGATAATTCTTGTGACCTAATCAAATAAAAGTCAAAAAATTAATATGCTAATATAATTATTAGAAGAATCAAACATGGAATGTTCATTGCAGATAATACCTCAGGCTAATAAACAATCCTTGATCCTATGAACTAGAGAGTATATAATTACAATTCCATCTAACACCACCCATGAGAACCCGTAAAGCTACTCAACCAGCATATCATGTTATGTAATGTATTTTTTGTCAGTATATTTTCACATAGAGCTTTAGCTACTATATCGAACCAAGAAGACATGAGCAATTTTTGCATCCTTTCCTTGTGCTTCCAACTTCACAATCACCAACTGCAAAACCTCATCACAATATGCAATCAGAAACAACAAAATCTCACCTCGTCCAATTTAACATTTACACATTTATCCACAGAATAAAAAATGAAAACCCTAACTCTTAACATTTACCAGGTGGGAGCTGAGGTTTCTTCAAGTCCTCTTCAGATAACAGGCTGTTCTCATTAATAAGATCCATGTCATCAACAATCTGGACTTTAGGTAAGCTTTTCACTAGCTTCTTAAGAGAAAACGAAGAACTAATCTTCCAGGTAGGTTTCTTAGCCTTAATCTGTGGATAACAAGAATATTAAACCAATTTATAATTCTCACAATATTATTTGTATCCAGCCACAAATAATGGGCTTAAAACAGAACAATATGACATGGACATGATGGATACAGAATCGAATGAACTTACCCCAAAAGATTGTGCTTCTACAATCTCAACCACCTCTATATCTGAAAACCCTACAACCAACAGTTTATGCTTAAGAGAAGATTTCGTCTACAAAATAGTCAAAACGATTCTTACCTCAGTAAAATTAATTGAATCTTTTTATTTTTTAATGAATAATAAAATGTCAAAACTATTATTACCTCAATATTCTAGCCACTACACGCAATGTCATAAATAAAAACAATCCTGTCCAAACTCCAGGAAGACCAAATTGAGGAACAACAAGAAGAAAGAACAAACAAGTTCCTAATCCAATCACTACCTTCAAATTATACATCAAACGCCCAAATAAAAATATTTTTTTAAATACAAAAAAGAGGTTTCGGATAATTGTATAAAAATAGAAAACACACCAAGGAATATGAAGCATATAATAATCCAAAACTCCATAGTATAGCCCATTAAGAACAAATGTTATAGCATTCATCGGTTGAGATGCAGCCACAAACTACATTATAATTTTTTTAATGAAAGCAAAATTACTAAAAGGTCCTTGAATATAAAAATAATTATAAAATAAGTTTCTTACCAAAGTACCAGATCTTACAATATTTAGAACTTGTGAATGTCGAATTGGACGCCCAACTGATCTAAGAACCTTCAAGTCTCACATTTTATCATTTTGTCATCTTATATATATTTGTAGATAATATAAAATCTATATATAAATTTTCACATTTGGATTTGTAAATTACTATTAGTTTATTACATTTAAATCTGGATGTCGAGCAGCTATGACAGGAGATGACTCTGTTTTTTTTATCTATGTTTTAATCTGGTAATTAATATATTAGAAAAAACAAAAAAATAATGAATCTATAAACCTCGAAGAATCTGTCAACATGTAAGGGTAAGCTTCCACCTCCACATATGCCAGCCTGTCAAATGCAATAGATATAGTTTATTGAAAGCTTCTTCAATCAGCTTTTACAATCCTAGACATCCTACATAGAAATTATAAGGATAACAAGGGCATTCACGTCTTTTTCACAGACAAGAGATCAATAGCGAGTTCTTGTCCCATATTTTCGGTTGAAACCTGATATATGTTTTTGAACTCCATGTATGCCAAACTCATCTTTATCAATGATAATGCAATCACCTTACGGATAGCATATGAGGTGGATATTTGTTTCTGAATCCCACTGCATAATAGAAACAAGTAAATGCAAGAACTAACAAGTAAATAGAGAAGATGTACTTGTATAAAGTTTCAAATACTAGAGGGACATATATTATATACTGTGGCTGATAGTGTCGCAAATCATCCTACAACGAAAATAACTAAAAATAATTTAAATCATAAAATAGAATGGGAATATTATATAACATCCATTTTCTGGATTTAAGAAATTCCAAATGGGATAAAAGAAATACCTTTAAGTATTTCACATTTGTGTATACTTGCTCATTTACCAACGCAAATATAAGATACTCAACAGCACGTTCATATGCATGCCAAGGTGGAAGCATACTTACAAATCTGTCCCCGAGCCCCGTAGGGAGAATGTCCCACAAATTATTAACCTAAAAAATAATAAAAACATAATAATATCTTAAAGACATGAAAATTGATCAATTGAAAAGGGCAAAATAGAACATTGTCCAAACCCTAAGAACAACACAAAAGCCAAGTGCTAAAGAACTATGTCTATTACAGTGCGTGCTTCACCATAGTTCTTTTGTGAATAACTACTTGCAAGAATTGCCTACAAAACAACATAATTAGACAACTAGAGGTCAAAATAGAACAACAACCTTAACCTTGTACTAGGTTAATTTTTAAGCTTACCTGTCCTGTAAGTGCTAAAGCATCAGTAAGCAAAGAAAGAGCCAACCAAACTTCTAAACCGATATGATAAGCATCCATGGGAATAGAACCTTCTCTTGCAACTATTGATGTAGATAAAGTCCTATTTACAAGAACAGCAAAACTCCTCCACATTATAAGCAACCTTGGTTGAAAATGCAGGTTGATGTCACTTGTACAAAATCAGATTCCACCTTATTCAAATATGATTATATTCCATTCACAAGATTTCGTTCCAGCCATTCCACCCTATTCATTTCCAGCCATTCCACCCATGGTCACATGATTGCATTCAAACCATATTCAACAGCCAATTACAAACCTTGTTATATAATTCCATTCCAACCAAACCTTATCATCCAGGAAGATATGTTAAATGGGACAACATTAAAAGGGAGATATATTAAAATGAACATGGGTCCTTCTTGAGTATAAATTGCCTCTTTCTTTTTTACATTAAGTCAAAATAAAACTTATCGGGACTAAACCAAGCAGGTTATAAAAAACAAGTAACCCAATTACAAAATGGTGGGAGGAGTTTAAACTTAAATCCTACATATTAGATCTATTAAATGATATATAATAAACCAAAGAAAAGTGAAAGAAAATCACCAATCCTCCAGCTTCTGCAGCTGATGCAAGATGAATATGGACAGTTGTTTCTTGTTGATTTTTCAGATACCTTTGTTTGGCTCTATTATAGCTATTCAAAAAAAGGGTTATATAGGTCAACAAGTTGGATATGCATCATTGTAAAATACCCTCGGGTTCAACAATATTTAACAAAACGGAAACTAATACAACTCTGTATCAGCATTGCATGATTGTATGCAGAAAAAGCTTAATATGGGTTCTAAAATCCTAATGCAGAGTTTGGTCTTACTTGAAGTTAATGAACTTGTACTATGTTTAATATTTTATTTTTACAGTTAACGGTTTTAAAATGTTTATTAAGTATAACTTAAGTACTGTTGGGCTCAATACTTGAGATAGTTGAGAAAGCTTATTACCTCTTCAACATGTTGGGCATCTCCAAGCATGCAAACTTTCAATTTAGGCCTAGGAATGTGAGGCAATTTGACTGTTCCACTGAAACGTTTGTCTTTTTTTGGGTCATAGTTCTTGAGTCAAATTTGGAGTTCAATGGTTTTAGTGAAATTATGCTTCTTCTCTTTTGCATCTGTGGTGATTTGAGTAATGGCTTCTCTTAGGGCTTCACTCTGAATCTTACTGTGAAATCACATATTGAGATATTAGTTGTTGATGAGTCAGATAGTTGAGCCTAACACAGTCTGCATGTATTTAAAAATCTTAAAGAACTAAGAACAACCATTTTATAAGATGATGATGATAGAATCATGAGATTTGAATACCTGAGTAAAATGGCCGAATTCTCCACATATTTTACAAATTATTTCTTCTTCTTTTCGTTTCTTCCGGAACGCGGTTCTGAGTTTGCTTCTCGATCGCGTCCATGACGATTTAGTACCCACCATTGCTCACATATTGCAGGTTGGGGGAGCTTCATCATAGAGGGCAGGAAGAATGGGAGAAGGAGTTATGGTCAGAGGTGGGTGGTGTGAGGGTCTACCCAGCGATGGATGGCCTTGCTCGCACCAACAGTGTCTCAATCTCCGGTCGTTGAACAAGAACCGGACGTACAGAGAAAGTTGACCAGAAGTTGGAGAGCAGATGTGGAGAAGTTATGGGAACAAGCGACGAAGATGCGAAGTTGTGGGAGGATCGCGCTGGAGATGCAAAGTTGGAGAGCAGATGTGGAGAAGTGAAGCGGTGGAGGTTTGAGAATCGAGAGAGAAGAAAGAAAGAAAGGGTGTTTTCGGTGGGGATGAGCTAGGGTTTTCAGGCGGTGGAAACAAAGCGGGCTTTTTAATTTTTGGGATTTCATTTCCCCCTTGGACGAAACGCGCGTTTCATTAAAATTTATAAAGCGACATGGTTAGACGACACACATTTTACTTAAGGTGCCCTTCGTGTTTTTTTTTATTAGACACTATTTTTACGGCGCACAAAAATGCGTTTCCTCTATGCTTCATATTTTGGAAAACTGACATCAATTTTTAGGGCACGCACAAATGTGTGTCCTCTATCAGCGCGTGTCATTGATTGCGCGTCGTAAAAGGTTGTTTCTCTAGTAGTGTAAGGCCAATTGTGTGAAGTTTTTGTCTTGATAAGAATCTGCACTAACTCTTGAATATTTGCTTTGTCAAGTAATGGTTCTTGACAAGAGAATCTTATATGTCAAGAGGTCAGTGGGAGTCTTAATGATCATGAAAAGGGTTTCAATCCTATCGTGTTGACATATTCTTGTTTTTGTGCCCATTCCAGTTAAAGTTGACTATGCATGTGAGTTCTATGAGTTCTCAGTTGTGTGCATAACTACTTGGAAGCAATGGTAGGCCCTTGTGCTGCCAAGTGGCAAGAAGTTAAGATTGAACGAGTTCAGTCCATATGAGTTTGGATTTGTCACTAACCTCCTCTTGTGGTTAGTTTTTGACAAATTCATATGGATAGGAACACATACACCATAAAATCTAAGTCTCATAAGGTTTCTCTTCGATTCATGAAAGTGATGGTGAGGAAACGCTTTCACTAAGAAGATTTTAAGGAGATAGAAATTGTGATATTTGCATTCTCAAACTCAATTATGATTACGGCATCCCTTTTCATAATTCGAATTGTGAGCAATGGCAAAGGTCTAAACATTTGAGACTATGATTACGACATCCCTTTTCATAGTTCTAAAATTGTTTAGACACACATGTGAGCTATCTAAGGAAAGGTGTATAATTTTGGGAAGCTTAGATAAAGCCTTATCGAAACATCTCGTATCAGAAATCTGAACTTTAGTAATGAAAGTCAATAAGTATTGATTTCTAGAAGTCCAGCTGATTTCTGAATACATGTCAAAGCTAGTGGGAGCATAAGTGTTATGCTAATAATAGTTATTATGCTAGTGGGAACATAATGATTATGGTAAGTGTTGCAAGTTAGCAATGTTAATTATAGAAAACAAAAGTTTCAAAATGCAAAGTCGTAGGGGTTGAAAAGTTGTTCTGCTATAATTAAGGGAGAGGAATTTATACTTTATTTAAAATCTAAAAGATTAGATTGTGAGATTTTAATCAAATTTAGTCAAATATATGTGAATGTTATGTTGGAATGGTTCAACGTAAGGAAATTCTACATATGAAAATGTTATTTGCGTTCTAAAATTCGATTATGATTACGGCATCCCTCTTCATAATGTGAATTATGAGAACATGGCAAATAATAATAAAAAACAATAAAAAATTTATAGCAAAAGACTCGTCTAGGATCATGTCTTTATGTGAGACATTATGAATCGTATCCCATATGCTTCGGTTATAGGATCGATTGCATATGCTATAATATTTCTATGTGTTCTCAATTTTACAAATGTTTGGGGCATTAAGAGGGAAAAAGGACCAGAATTGTAAATGACTAAAATGATTAAGCAATTGTCGAGGACAAACTGAGGCTTACCAAAGATTGGTTACTCATGGACAGTTGGAAGTATAGTGTTAAATTTTGGAAGGACCATATTGACAAATTCTAAAAAGAGGCAATTCTTGTTCAGAAGTGATAATCAAAATGGGAATATGGAAATGTTTCCGTAGGTGGAAGTTATTCTTTAAATCTGTGTAAGATTAGAAAACTTAATGCAAAAAGGATGTTCAAAGGAATGTACTTTGAATGTGAGACTTCGTTTCCATGGAATTGCTCTCCATTGGAATACTTTGTAATGTCTGTTGCCGACTCTTTGTGACTTTTGTGCTTAGTCATTACAAAAGGATCATTGCATATAAGTTTAGGATCTAACAGATTATAGTAAATGACAAGATTTTGGTATTCTTATATTTACGATAAGGATTTGGAATTGTGAAAGAAGCATCATTGAAATGTTGTCAATTGATCTATTCTACAAAGAAAGGACCATAGGTAAACATAGTGTGCATGCTTGGAGCATGGGACAACTATTGTTTTAGTTCAAGTATAAAGTTGATTATTCGAAACATTATACAATGAATAATGAGTAATCAATATGATGATTAAATAAAAGGTGTTTTATTTACTCTCACAAGTATTGGGGCTAGATAGGATTAGTATTATTTTTGTGTTTCACTTTGCATGTTTTGACTTCCCGAATAACTAGGTTATTCAAACCGTCCACAGTCAATCATACTTTGGAAGTAGGTATTGAGGCAAGACTGTCATGAATGGGTATGTAGTATGTGTAGATGTTTTAGACATAGCTGCAGTATTCATGAGTGCTCCTGGAATAAGATTCGAGTATTGGATTAAACCCACGCTCATTTGACTCACTTCATAGATTTTATCACGAGTGACCATGAGACGATAATATCTTATATTCTTCAAACGGAGAGATATGAGTTGCAGTCTACAAGTCGGTTGCACATTGATAATGTCAAAACGCATCAGTAACTTGGTATTATAAAATGCATTGTTGTGTGTGATTTGATGAGTAGATGGAGCAAGCATATGAGTCGAAGTTTATCCATTCCTTTTACCCCATGTGGATAAAAGCGATATATATGGGCCCCTCGATGATTTAGTGATGACAAACGTAAGTGCTCGGCCGGGCCTGGACTGATTTGATTTGTTCAATTAGTCGGCCGTCATAAATCGGAAATTGGGAAACAACAGATGGACAGAGAGAATGATTATAATCCATGTCTCAGTCCATATGATATCTAGAATGGAGGAATATATGATCCCTTATCTAATGGACATGTCATTGACTAGGTCAGAGTTCGACAGCGGCTTTTAAGAGCTACGATTGCTAGTCGGGTTTTGGAGTCGTACTTGCAATAATAGTTTTAGACTTATCCAAGTAGGAGACTGTTGGATTAGATGTCTAAGCCCATAACTATTATTGGTATGTACTTGACCCTAGACTAGCATGGTCCATTTGGGTTGCATATCATCAGGACAATTTGTTAGGATGGATTCTTGAGAGAAGGTTATATATGATTTGTTACTATATTATAAGTTATAATATATTAATATGAAATCATATGTTTTAATTAGTATTGATCAAGAATTAATTTGGAATTAATTTTGTGATCAAAAGAGACTGATTAAATCTATGGGGACTAATTATGGTAATTAGTTATATTTATATGTGTTGGGCTTATGATCCATGTTGGACCAAGTTTATGCATGGATACATAAAGAGTTGGGCCACATGAACCATGGATCATAAACCCATGGGTATGGATTTGAATTATAACCATGACCCTTGGAATCCACCATATAAATAGGTTGCTTCATGACCAAAAATGTGGATCTCTAGTTCTTAGAGAAACATGGTGGTTTTTTGGTGCATGGAATTCTCTCTCAAGTTCCACCTTTGTTCATGATGTGTTGTGACTTCATTTGAGGCTTCCACACTATTAGGGCTAAGCTCTTAAGGCCAAATACATCAAGACTTTAAGCTAATCAAATGTATGTCACCCTAACTAGTATCTTGTATGGCATATGACAATTGCATGCTAGTTATAGGCTTAATACCTTGGAAACATCATTGCATGTATAATTAGTGAAAACATAGTTCCAAGGTATTTAGGGTTGTATGTGCATCGTAGGATGTTGTAGTATGCAAAACCCAACAGAAACAACCCTCAACATCAGAAATCCATCTCATCGTGGCAATCGGGTCTTGGGTCCCGTCAAACTCTAGTGGCTTCATGTTGTTGAAATTTCGGTACCACAACGAATAACCCCCACCACCCTGTGGTCTCACAGCAACAACGGTTGCACTGGCTGCGGAAGCAACAACCTCAGTGACGGCGACATAGTGATCCTCAAAAGTCTCGATCATCATGGTCTTAATAGACCAAAACATATCTGGTATAGCCCGTTTGATCGTCGTGGCCACCTCAGCGGCAACGATCCTACGTATCTCATCATCACTGGCACTCGGCCTCTCGGGGTCGCTGAAGCCTGAACCTCGGGTAACCACCATACTAAAGCACACAAGAAAACTATTAGAAATAGGATAAAGTGCAAACACAAACACTTACACACTCCTGCAAGTTCCTTAGTACCCAAAGATTCCTTCTTGAGTCACGCACAAATCGGGTGCTTTCAGTAGTACAATGTAACATCCCGACTCCCATGTATAAAATTTTAAGGATTTATGTTCATCACAAAAGACCTACTCAACGATTTGGAGGCCCCAACTCGTCGTGTAGAAACTAATGAGGCTGCGTGGTTTAAGGAACCTACTCGACGAGTTGGAGAACCCCAACTTGACGAGTTGAGGCTTTGCATGAAAACACTAATTTTTTTAGCGTTTTCACCCTATTTAAAGGACCTTAAGTCCCCTCACCAGCCAC